CCTTCCTTCAGCCCTCAAAAATGTGGAAAATATACGTGACCCTCATGCGCAAAAGTTTGGAGAAGCCTGATCTAGGAGAACAGATGGCAGGTCCAGGACAGGGAATGAGTGACAGAAAACTAGAGACAAGAGGCCAGAAAGGGATAGAGCCATGAAGTCAGTTTGAAAAGGCAGGAAAGAAAGAAGAAGGAGGAGGGAAGGAGGAAAAGAGTGGAGGAAGCAAAAGATGGGTGGAAATGGGGGAAGCCAGATCATGTAAATGTGGTGAGATCCTTCCCTTGGGATGGGAATGGATCGGCTTAGAAGATCCCTGGACAAAGAAATGGGGACGGTTTGTAGTGCCCAGAGAAGAGGCTGAGAGGAGACAGCAAGTGGGAGTTCCAGCAAAGCCTTCTTATTGAAGTGAGGGGACTCTCCAGCACCACAATTCAAAAGCATCGATTCTTTGGCGGTCAGCCTTCCTTATCTTCCCTTTCTATTTGCCAAGCGGTGATGGGACCAGTGGCCATGACCTTAGTTTTTTTTTATGTTGAGCTTCAGACCATTTTTTGCACTCTCCTCTTTCACCCTCATTAAGAGGTTCCTTAATTCCTCCTCACTTTCTGCCATCAGAGTGGTATCATCTGCATATCGGAGGTTGTTGATATTTCTCCCGGCAAACTTAATTCCAGTTTGGGATTCCTCCAGTCCAGCCTTTTGCATGATGCATTATGGATATAAGTTAAATAAGCTGGGAGACAATATACAGCCTCGTCACACTCCTTTCCCAATTTTATACACCGGTTGTTGATATTTCTCCCGGCAAACTTAATTCCAGTTTGGGATTCCTCCAGTCCAGCCTTTTGCATGATGCATTATGGATATAAGTTAAATAAGCTGGGAGACAATATACAGCCTCGTCACACTCCTTTCCCAATTTTGTACACCAATCATAGAATTATAGAAAAGTGAAGTTGGAAGGGGTCTACAAGGCCATCAAGTCCAGCACCCTGCTCGGTGCAGGAATACAATCAAAGCACATCTGTAAAGTGATTATCTAAGTTTTTTTTTCCCAATTTTGTACACCAATCATAGAATCATAGAAAAGTGAAGTTGGAAGGGGCCTACAAGGCCATCAAGTCCAGCCCCCTGCTCAGTGCAGGAATACAATCAAAGCACATTTGCCAAGTGATTATCTAAGTTTTTCTTTGAATGCCCCCCAGGAGCACTCACCAACTCCTGAGGTAACTGGTTCTACTCTTGTACTGCTCTAATAGTTAGGGCGTTTTTCCTCATATTCAACCAAAATCTGACTTCCTTTAACTGGAGCCCATTGTTGCGTGTCCTGCACTCTGGGATGATTGAGAACAAATCTTGCCCCTCCTCTGTATGAAAGCCTTTCCAATATTTGAAAAGTGCTATCCTATCACCCCTCAGTCATCTTTTCTCAAGGCTAAACAGGCCCGATTCTTTCAGACTTTCCTCATAAGCCTTGGTTTCCATCCTCCTGATCATGCTTGCTGCCCTCCTCTGAACTTTTTCCAATTTGTTAGGATCCTTCTTGAAGTGTGTTGTCCAGAACTGAACACAATACTCAAGGTGAGGCCTAACCAGTGCTGAATAGAGAGGGACTAGCACCTTGCGGGATTTGGAAACTATACTTCTATTAATGCAGCCTAAAATAACATTTGACTTTTTTTTAGCCACATCCGTTCACCATTCTTACATATATTAATCTAGATATATTTTTGTCACCCAGTTCCACTCTAATTAAACAAGCTATGGTAGTTTAATTTTGAGACACTGAAAATTAAACAGAAAAATTGGGTTTGGGTACTTTAAATGTTATTGACTTCTGCAAAGCCCCATAAATAATTGTGCTGTATGGCTTCCCTGACTTTTTTTATATATATTTAAGCTCTTAATAAATGCATGCATAACAGTTGTCTTGATTTCCTTAATCTTTGCAACTGTACCTCTGTTTACAGCTGCGTTTGCCACACCCAACTGAAGACTGAAAAAAAATGCTGCTTTCACAATGAGTCACAGCATGTCACAACAGTGTAAACGTCAGTCCATGGGTGGGCAGACGATCGGGTGAGGACACAGCATTTCTCTTCTCAAAGAAGTTCTGGGGGAATAATGAGAGCCTTGATGGGTGGGCCTGGATGCAGGGAAATGAAATCCTAGAGGATTCTTAAACCAGGAAACAATCCAAATCAAGGTGTGTGGGGAGGGGGATACAGGAAGATACATTGGGGCGATAAAACTGGTTCTATCCCCTCCTAGTGTTTTTCTTTATTTATTTATTTTGCAGGGAGGGGAGGGGTGCTGAATAACCAACCTGATGAAGGCTTCTGGATATCTCAAAAGGCTTGCTCCTTGTTTTGAAAGATTATAGTTGGTCATACTGAAAGTATTACCGAACTGTGAATTGGCTGGTTGTTGTTTTTTCCTGTTCATGGGCTCAGTTGTCACTTTCTGTAGACTGGAGCTAAACCAAGTCCTTTGCTGAAGATCAGGTGACTACACAGATGGTTTCAGTAGAATGATAAATAATAAAAAAAAAGAAGTAGCTAGCAGAGGAATAACCGTGGCAACACAATATAACAAAACAACCAATGGAACTGTGGAAAAACCCAGCAAATGTCTACAGAGCCTCTGCTTCGAAGACCTCCTGTGGGGGAAGTATACCCATCTTCAAGGTAACTTGTTCCACTGAGGATGAGCCATTACTGCTAAGAATTTATCTTAATGCTGAACCAAAAGCTGTCCTCCTGTAGCACAATCCCATACTAGGCCTTCTAGAGCAGCAGGGAAATGAAATACAGTAAACAGAACATTTGTCCTTTCATTCTCCAAAATCTTGCACTAATACAGTGGTGCCTCGCTAGACGCTGATAATCCGTTCCACTGAAATCGCTGTTTAGCGAAATCATTGTCTAGCGAAAAGCATTTCCCCATTGGAATGCATTGAAACCTGTTTAATGCATTCCAATGGGGAAGAATCGTTGTTGTCTGGTGAAGATCGGCCACAGGAAAGCCACTTTGTGAACCGCCGATCAGCTGTTTAAATCGCTGTCTTGTGAAGCTTAGGTCCCGAAAACACCTGTTTGCGAGCGCGGAGGAAGCTGTCAAAATCATCGTCTAGCGAAAATCGGTTTGCGAAGCAGGCACGAAACATTGTCCAGCGAAATTTCCCCATAGGAATCACTGTTTTGCGGATTGCTATAGCGATCGCAAAAAGCCAATATCTAGTGAAAAAACTGTCATGCGGGGGTAACTGTCTAGCAAGGCACCACTGTATTCCCTTACTGTACTTCATTTTACAGGCACAAATTTTCCACTTCCTCATTTTTCCATTTCCTTCTCTTTGCCTCTTCATTCTTATTTTGCGTTCCCTGTTTCCTGTTCTTTCCTTAGCCAGATGAAGCTGGGAGGAGGAAGGAAAAACTGCACCAGCTGAATGTGCAGTTTTGAGAGGGAATCTTAGAATTGATCCTGGGAACTGTGGGTGAAGAGGCAGATTATGGGCATCTGACTCACTTCTTGTTTCTCTGAGTTAGACCTCACCATGGCTATCCTGACTTTGGATGTGGCAGCTCTAACCAACCATGATGATGGTTGGCCGGGTGGAAAACACAGACAGCAGCCAATGATGCTGGAGCCAGGTGCAAAACTGGGCATTCATACGTGTATACCCCTCGGCATTCATACACATTCTTCATTCCTCCCCATACAAATGGCATCAGGTCAACATTCCCTCAAATACACCTTCAACTCCACGGCATTCATTCACACCCCAGTTTAGCTGCAGAGCAGACAAGTACACCTTTCCCTAAAATTAGAAATATTCTTCCTTGTGTCCTTCTGTTTCTGAAGAAAAAACGGAAGTCTCACAATATAAGAAAATAAATCACAGTTTACTTTAGTTTAAAATCGACCAGTGCATTTTGGATTAAATTTATGGCTTTCTTCAGAGACTGTATTGAGTAAAACAAAAAGGGGGACAGCTTATTGCCATGTTTACATTTTTTTAACATCATAATACACATGTCATCTAAAAATTTATACATTGTTCACAGTGAGAATATTCATCCAGCGTATGACAAGTGTGGCCAAAATGCATTGGGCATCTTGAAGAGTATATTCACAACTGGAAAAAAACAAACAGCCTTTGGTATTTAAAGAGCTGGAGCTGAATCATAGAAGAGCTACACAGATGCTAACACGGGGATGAACTTGTGCGTGTGAAGTGTCTTTCCTTCTAGTAATAACAGGAGTCCAGGAATCGGTAAGATGCAGGGAGTGGAGCACTACATTGCAAACAGTTTTTTCCTTTTAAAAATCAAAGACGCAAAGCCTTTCCTTTTCTAAAGCGGACTTGGACGAAACCCTCCCCCCCACACACACACACGGTTATCTGCTCCGGAAAGAGCTATTCGTAGCGTTCCCACGCCCAGTCAATCCGGTTTCAAGATGCCAAGAAGAGTGTCTCCCAGTGTGGGCAGGCTTCTGCTGGCTTGTCCGCTGAGCACCTCGCGCAAAATAAATAAATAAATAAATAAATAAATAAATAAATAAATAAATAAATAAATAAATATTACTAATGAGTTTCCCACGCCCTTGACCTCCGTGTGGGTCTAAGATGGGACAGCGATTGTCCGTAGGTTGCCCGGCAAGAGCGGGGGAGGGGTTGGAGGATGGGAGGAGGAGGAAGGAAGAGGGACGTGCCTTCGGATTTCCAGGAAAAATCTCCCGAGGCTGAAAGGCGGTCGGGGGAGAAAGTGCCCTCCGCCCTCCGTGCCTGAAAGC